TGACTGACTGACTGACTGACTGATTGATTGATTGATTGATTGATTGATTGATTGATTGATTGATTGATTGATTGATTGATTGATTGAAAAAAGTGTTATTCGGCAAAAAAAAAATTGATAATAATTTAGGTGTCTTAAGATAAGCATGCTGTTGTTACTATTGATCCCAGACGTCTGTTGAAATGGCTTTTTGTTTTTTGTTTTTTGTTTTTTGTTTTTTGTTTTTTGTTTTTTGTTTTTTGTTTTTTTGTTGTTGTTGTTGTTGTTTTTTTCTGGCCGTTACACGCACCGTTGGTTTCAGCCGCGGATGAAAGAAAAGATCACTTGATGACAAAGATTTTGCAGCACAGCTGTTGCAAATTCCTCAAATCTTATCCATGCGATGGATTTAGCATCTGTCGGACCCTTCTCTGTAACATATTTTGATTTGTATCTTGCTAGAAAGTGCGAAACTCAGCAAACTTGCAAACAAACTGTGAACTGTGAGAGATTCACTGATTCTCCTCAGTCTTAAGGGGACTGGGTACGAAAGACATACCCATCACGTAAGGAAACACGAGGTGTCTCCTCTTGAGGAACGATTATTCCTCCAAAAATGGCAACCACAGCTGTAAACAATTCGTCACCCTCCACGTCGGTTGCTGAATTAGTTGCTTCATTCCTTCGGGCAATCGAATACCTGGTCAGGCAAATCTGCCTCAGAATCGACGAATATGGAATAACTGCGCTACTAAAAACAGTTTTACTGTTCGTGGTGCTGTTTGCAGTGAAGGAAAACCTGAAACACACGTTTGGCTACGAGTGCCCAGAAGAAAACTACTATTTCTACGGAAACCTTTTCATTTATGGCCCAGCAGTTTTCTTTTTGTGCTTTGCGTTCGTATTTTCTCGTTCGTTCTGGGAATTCGTAACGAGTTGCTGCCGTCTACACTGCAACAAGCGACTTTTGGTTTCGCCGAGGTCCGCTATAGACATCTATCTCGCTGTTTCATCTCCCTTCCTGTGGGTTGCGTGCGCGCTCACTGAAAAAGATTATTACGTCTGCGCATTTTACGGGCCAATAAGTTTTGAAGACCGACCACATAGGTGGACGAGTCAACCCAGCGCTGGATGGGTAAGGAACGCAAAAAGTCGCAGCCAAGTGCTGGCATGGGCAATTATACTGTCATGGGCTCTGACTTCAACTGCGGTTATCTCACTTCACCGGTGCTTAAACAGAAATGAAGAGGAGAAATCCAAAGGATACATTACCGTATAGGCATATTTTTAAACTAAGTCTTACCCTGTTAAAAATGTGAAGATGACATATCCTGTCTGGGTACTCCCATTCACACAAGCTTGATGCCATTTACACTGTTTAAGCCTTTAAGGTGTCCCTTTTTCACATAATTTAGACAAGCTTTACTTTAGGAGGAGTGGTTCCCTCATAGTTCGTGCGCTCAACTCTGGATTGAGCAGTCCAGGTTTAAGCCCTGGCCTGGGACATTGTTTTGTGTTCTTGGGCAAGACACTTCACTCCCAAATTGCCTCTCTCCACCCAAGTCTATCAATGGATACCGGCAAATTTAATGCTGGAGGTAACCCTGCGATGGACTAGCATCCCATCCAGGGGGGGAGTAGAAATACTCCTAGTCGCATAATACTACAGAAACCAGTATAAGCTTCGGCCTGATTGGCCACTTGGCTCATATGCAGACTTTACCTTACCCTTGTAAGGGCTTCTTTAATACTTTTGTTACACACTGTTATGCATTGATAGGTAACAATGAGTATTGCTACTCCCCCAAGATTTTCCAGCGTATTTTTTGTGTTGCTGTAATGTTTTACTGGTACTATGCTCATCTGTGTTACTTTTCAAATTTCAGTCCAACTGATTTTACACTTCTCCACAAATATGTACATCACAACTGTTTTACTTTTTATAGGGAGTTATAACAAGGACTGCAGTTATGATGCTAGGTACTAAACTTGTTGAATTGATGAACATTGTTTATTCATAAATATTTACACATTTTCTTTATCTTGTATTAGAATGTACATAAAACATGTCAATAATTAAAGCATGTTGTTTACTTCAAGCTTAGACATAATTTAAGGTTATTCAATGGCCGATTCCCTTTATGAAGCATGCTTGCAGAGAACCATGGTAGTTATATTCATTCCCTTGGACCCTGCAGGCATGTCTCACAGAGGGAGTTGCCAATAAGTTAGTTTTTTGTGTGTTTAAATTAATTTGAAAACTGATAGCTATGGTATTTAAATAATCTAAATGATGGGAAAGTTCTCATGATATAAATTCTCCATTCGCACCAATAATATTATTATATTACATAAAGCAAGTTTAAATAGTGAAAATCAGTGCAGCCTCAATTTACACTTTGTCTGGTCAATTTATTGGCATGAGTAGGTTAGAGCTGTTTTCAATTCAGCGTCCCAAACCAAAGTAATCACTATGGTCAATCAAAGAATGCAAAAAAATTCACTGAACCAATCAAAACTAAATAAACAATTATATGAAGCTGACATGAAATGTGTGCGAGTGAGTCGTGATTGGTTTTAGTTTTACTTCTGATTAGATGACAAAGTAGCGGGAAATGTTTGGCAACCAAATACAGTTAAACACTGTTTGATGACCAAACATGTTGATGTTGTACTGAATGGTAAAGGGTATCAAATGTGTTTGATCACTGTCCAAACGAACAAAATGTTTTACAATGTTTGATCAAAATGTTTGTCATTGTTCAAATTTTATCAAACACAATTAAACATGATCAAACACAATCAAACAAGGTGTCCAAATGGGAAAATGTTTGGTCACCAAACAATGTTTGATCGCGTTTGACCACCAAGCATTTGCCATTTGGACAGGGCTTTACCGTACAGATCCAAAACCAAAGCAAACATGCATTACTTAATCACTTAAGTCAAAACTGCTCTCCAGTCATACTAGAAGAGCTTTCAAAGATTTTTAGTCAGTCTCAGAGTTGCAGGTCTCTATTTCACTTGTGTGAACAAGCCTGTGTGTCCTTAAGTTGCTAAAATACTTGAAGTTTCTCAAGCAAATTTCACACTGAAATACTTGTCCACTTCCCACTGCAGATGTCTTACTGTCCTTGGGGGAGTTTTCTATCATTTTCTTGTGGACAATATTCATGTGAGATTTCAAATTACTGAAGTACTTGAATTGCTTGGTACAAAAGTGACATTGGTAGGGTTTATCAGCTCTTGGGGAGAGTATGAAACCAGTTGTACATTCACTGAACCCTCTGTGTTCATTTAAGCCATTCAATGGAGGTACAAGAGGCTTCTTCCTGTCTTTGCTTCTTCTGTAGTTTTTCTCTGTGATACCTTTTGAAGGCTTTACTGCATACCCAGGGGATTGACAGGAGAGGAGAAGCATATTTTCCTTTATCTCAGTTTGAATTGTTTTGTCATCACCAATGCACTGTTCAGCATCAGGTAGTGGAATTCTGTGACTGTACTTTCTCAGTTTGGGACTAAATTGATAAAGAAAATATTAATTATATTAATTTTTTTCAAAATGATGTATGTTCAGGATTTTGTTGTTAGACTACAAAAAGGAAAGCAACAAGAAATTTTGAAAAGGTTTGTGTGTACATCAATTCATATCTTTGCTTATGATGAACTACATGTGGCAAACCAGTGCAACATAATTTGTATAAAAATGTTTTCAGTCACCTGTCATTCTGTGAAAAATTTCCACTGTTGCACCTGTCAGTTGTGGATCCTTCCTGGGTATATTGATGGCAACAAAACAACAAAGATCACAAATTAGAACTACCTTAGTTAATTAGTAAATCCAGTTTTATGTCTGGAGTGAGTATGATCAAAAAAGTGTAGCAGATTATTGGAAGTCAATATGTCAAAAGTGTTGTAGAGTTGAATGCAAGCATAGAAGTATATAAGATAAATATTAAAGAAGCTGAAGTTTTTTTTTAAATATACCTCACTCTTCCTCTTCAGTTGTCTTTTGGACTTCTGCAGCCCATTNTTTTCTTGTGGACAATATTCATGTGAGATTTCAAATTACTGAAGTACTTGAATTGCTTGGTACAAAAGTGGCATTGATAGGGTTTATCAGCTCTTGGAGAGAGAATAAAACCAGGTGCACTTTCACTGAACCCTCTGTGTTCATCTAAGCCATCCAATGGAGGAACAAGAAGCTTCTTTCTGTCTTTGCTTCTCCTACAGTTTTTTGCTGTTGTACCCTTTGAAGATTTTACTGCATACCTAGGGGATTGACAGGATAGGAGAAGCATATTTTCCTTCATCTCGGTTTGAATTGTTTTGTCATCGGCAACACATTGTTCAGCATCATTTGGTGGAATTCTGCAACTGTACTTTCTCTGTTTGGGACTAAATTTATAAAGAAAATATTAATAACATTAATTCTTTTCAAATGATGTATGTTAAAGTCTGTTAAGGATTTTGTTATTAAACTACGTAAAGGAGAGCAACAAGAAATTACGAAAAGGTTTGTGTGTACATTGTATCTTTGCTCGTGATGAAATATGGCAAACCAGTGCAATATAATCTGTATAAAAATGTTTTCAGTCACCTGTCATTCTGCAAAATGTTTTCACCAATGCAGCTGCCAGTTGTGAATCCTTCCTGAGTATTTTGACGGCAACAAAAAAAACAAAGATCACAATCGGAACTACCTTATTTAGCAAACCTAACTTTATATGTCTAGAGTGGGTATGATCAAAAAAGTGTAGCAGACTATTGGAAGTCAACATGTCAAAAGTGTTACAGAATTGAATGCAAGCATAGAAATATGTAACTTTTTTTGTAAGGTAAATAGAAAAGCTGAAGTTTTTTTT